TTTTTTAAAAATTTGACAGACTTCTGTACTTCCTGTGATACAAAGTCAAACGTGAACTCCTAGTCTTGGAGTGACAGCACTACTCCACAATGTTAATAAGCCTGGAAACTCAAGAATGCACAGAATTACTCTTAACAGAATTCCTTCACTGCAAATGATTCTTTTGCCCTCTGGTGTCCAAACAGAATGTCTGCACAAACTGTATTTTGTTCAGATGGGCTTTTTCAATCATTATTGAACTGCTGAGTCTTAGTCGTAAGTTCCAAGTGAAATGAAGCAATGGAAGAATCCATACAGTGAGTAACACAGGTCAGATGCGGAAACCAAACTGAGATCAGGCCCAAAATAACAGAATCTGGGGAAGATCTGCAAAGGCAGAAGATGTTGTTTTTGGTATTTGATTTATTATTTAAAATTTACTCTGTAGTTTTATTCTGTGTTGATAAAGATGTTTGATGATTTATACATGAATGTAAATATTAATGCACGTTTACTTAAAAGTGGGCTTCAGTTTTTAAACCATTCTCTTACAGAAAGGTGAGAAGAAAGTACTTTTTGAAAAAAATTATTGTGATGAAAACACTTAACATGATTAATATTAACATGATTACTACCCACTTATGTTTAATGGTGTTTTCATTTTGGGGGGTACAGAAATTCCTTGGAAAAAAGAACCTTAAAAAAAAAGAGAGGTAGATTGACCTATATATTTATACCCCCAACCTTTCTGTGTCTTGTACTGGATATAGCATCTTTCTTTTTCCATACATGTTATTAACTGACTCTTAGAAGAATAAGCAGAGGGATAGACTGGCACCTAGTACATCTGCATGTTTTACATTATAAATTTAAAAAAAGCAAACTTGTTGACATGTTTAGCTTAATTTTCCCATTTTGCTAAAAATTGAAAGCCTGGTTCCACTCATTCCTCGTGCCAGTCTTCCCTCACATTAGTGGCCCTCTGATTTGTTTAAAAGGAGGCTGCAGCCTGCAGAGTAGCCCAAAGCTGCAGAGGGAGGAAACTTGTCGCAGCTGTCTGGGGCCCTGCCAAGGGGCAAAGTCCTCTCATTAGATATAACCCGTTTTTCTCCCCTTATCCATTGCTTCCCACTGCAGGACTAAAGATCCCCTATAAACACGCAGCCCTGCCAAACGTAACATGCTCACACCTAGTCAGGGTGGCAGCCAGCGAGGGAGACGGGCGCTGGGCCAGGGCTTGCTGCCGCCGGGCCTACCCTTTCATCTCAGAGCTGCCCCGCCAGGTCCTCTTCTCTCCTGCTCTTGTGCTGGTATTGTTTCTAGCAAGATACTGACATTTTAGAGTTTGGGTAATAGCTCTGTCTTTTTTGCCCCCTCACATTTTAAACTGTCTTAAGAGGTTTTTGAAACGGTAGGTGGAGACACAGATAAGTTCCTTGGTTTCCTTCTTAAAGTCGCAGGAGCTGAAGTGATGGAAGTCAGGCAAGTGTTAGAAAGCTGGAGGCAGAACTCTAGGGCCCTCTACAGTATATGCAGATGGACTGTGTCAGCAGGGAGAACTTAAAGTACAGACTTACAGAGAAAAACTCACTAGATTTTTAATACCTGGGATGTATAGCTGCTGCAATTGGAAAATTTTCTAGAATTTGTGGAAGGAAAATAATTGGATATGGCTATTTAGATGTAGCATTTTTCCACACGCTTTTTCCTTTATGGAAATTTTCTCTCCTTTCCATTTACCTGCATAAGATGCTTGGCTTCTCAAGTTATTTTTAGATCTGTGTGCGGATGCAGCTATACAATATCAAAGGAAACATTCCACTCGTTTTTCATGTGCTAAAATAACAATATGTGGTTCTGACTGTACTATCTTAAACCTCGGGGAGTATCTCTACCAAATCACTTTCATTTGTGAAAGCAGAGTGGAGACGGGGACTGGAGAGATCACACACAGCAACCTAGAGGGTAAAGATCTTATCCAAACACGGGCAGCATGCCATACGGAAAAGCGGCCGCATGAAAAAATTCATCTTCAAAGATCATTTTATAATACTCAATAGAAAGCAGGTCTTCCTTCTCTTCTTTTTTTTTCCTTAGATTTTTATTATCCTTAAACTTTTTTTGTCAGAGGGAAGCAGTGAGGAAAATTGTATTTCTTTGCTAAATGTTCATAGCTTCATTCACCTATACTTTCTTTCTCACATTGAAATCTCTTAGGATTTGAAAATCTGATACCAAAACTGGCTTGAATGACAGGATATTATTTCTTTTGAAATACTGGCTACCGCATGACTGCAGCTACAAAATCAAAAGATGTTTTTATTAAGTTGGAGGGCTGTCGCAAAAATGTAGTGCAGGCAAAAAATCTCACATTTGCTTTGATTTTAATAATAGACCCACAGATAGTACCGCAGGCATTGTAAGCGATAAGCCCACTATGAATGGCTTTTGACTGAGCCTCAAACATGCAGCCTGTAATTGGGCGAGAGCTTTGTATCATCTTTCAAGCTTCCATATCCATTTTGAGTCACAGCTTAATCTGTTTAATATAGGGTGCCTTCCATTACTGAGTTGACAGATTCCACTTGGCTGAAGGCAAAATGGTAGAAACAATGAGATCTTTCGACCAACATCCAGTTAAGAATATGCTCAGGAATCATCAAATGGCTAACATTCTAGGACATTTCTAACCTCTTCAGTGCAGACCTGGGACAAGTCACTAGATACCAAGAACAGATTAGCTTTTGAAGCTCAGACAGGCAAGATTTTTGTGAAAGATAAAAGATATTCTCAAATTATTTATAGAAAATCATTAACAGATGTTTTTTGAAGTACAACTTCTTTGATATTTCTTGTAATTTGGTGAACTACTGAAGATTTTATTGCAGTAAAATTTGAGGTCGGGGTCATATATGGTGACTAACTCCAGTATCTTTAGTTCCCTGAGACTGTCCTTTGTGAATGTTATTGACTGAGAAGTACAGATTTGGAGCCTTGACAAGATTCTAATCAGTGTTGGGTATAATGGCTCAGGTCAGTGGAGATTTTTTCCAGTTTGTCTACAAAGTAAAATAGGTAGAAAGCAGCACTTTCTTACCAACTTTCCTCAGTGTAACTCATTTTCTTTTCTATGCCTGCGTCATATAGCCAAACTTTTCCATTCCAAAATGATGTATTAGCCAGTCAAGAATTCAAGTGCTATTACAGAAGAGTTCTCTGAGATAACTTCCTAAATTGTAATATAATAAAATCATAAAATAGATTTAGCATATGGTAGGGGAGGTATCTGCTGGGGAAAAAAATGTATGAAATTCTGACGCAAGTCTCTTCATGTTTTTGGATAGAGGCACATCAAATTCAATTTCATTTGTACCAGTGTGAACTTTTTACTTTTACCACCAGGGGGCAGGGTCTGCTAACTGCTGAGTTAGTGGATGCCAAAAAGCACACAAGAATCAATTTTAGACAGAAGTGAAAAATTCCCTGAGGGTTTCCCCACAGATTCTTTCAGGGAAGAGCTGTTGAATTATTCACAATAAATTTTCACACTAGTTATGAAAAACTAGATAATTATGTCAAGCTACTAAAACTCTTCTACAAGTAATTTTATGACATGTTGATTTGTTCCATTTTAACAATCTTGGTTTTAATTTAAAACTGAAATTTTACATTAATTAAAGGAAATTGAATATAATGGCATATATAAATTACTGTCTTAATTATTTCAACTCAAAATCCATGTATCTTCATAAGAAAAGAGCTCACTGTGGAAACTTTAGAAAATACAGATAAATGAATATAATTTAGATCTTTTTTTTTTTTTTTTGGAGGAAACATTCTGAAGCTTTAAAAAGCAGGATAATTTGTTTCAGAAGGTTCTCTGTGATGACCATTAGCCATTCTGTCTGCCAACAAGCAAAGTCAGTTGTCTTTTGAGATCTGAGGTTAATTCAAAAGAACAGTTCAAAAGACAATGGAAATACCTAGCATGGGGCTTTTGTACTCAGTTTTCTGAAGTCAGCCTTCTTGGAAGAAAAGACATTGTCTTGGGATTGGAATTATAAATTTTCATTTATGCTACTGCAACTGAAAAGAGTATTTTGAAAGTAAGAGCCCAGCTGGACATTGATAAAAGATTTAAAATATGTGTACAATTAATGTTTTACTGAGGTATAACTGACATATAACATATTAGCTTGAAGTGTACAGTGTAATGATTCAATATTTGTATGTAATGAAAAATAATCATAAGTCTAGTTAACATCAGTCACTAACATAGTTATATATTTTTTTCCTTGTGATGATAACTTTTAAGATGTAGTCTCTTAGCAACTTTCAAATATGCAATACAGGATTAGTAACTATAGTCACCATGATGTACATTTCATCCCCGGGACTTTTAACTGGAATTTTGTACCTTTTGACCCCCTTGACCCATTTCACCCACCCTCCACCCAACTTCTGGCAACCACCAATCTGTTCATTGTATGAGCTCTTTTATTTGTTAATGTGAGATCAGTTGGTATTTGTCTTTATCTGACTTACTTCACTTAGCATTATGCCCTCAAGGTCCATCCATGGTTTTGCAAATAGTAAGATTCCATTTTTGTGTGTGGCTGAATAATATTTTATTGTAATAATTTAGAATATTTTGAAAGCAAAAACTGGATTTAAATACACTCAAGGTAAACTGCATTTATTTACATGTACATGTGGTTACATAGCGGTCCTGTTGACCATTCCTGTAATATTATTAATGATCAGCCTTAAAAACTTTATTGGCAGTGTAATTTCTCAGGTGCATGAACAGTGTCTACTTCCCTCCTCATTTCTTTTCAGTGTCCAAGCAAAACCTATGACCCACTGATTAAGTCCACCCGAGATTTCCCAGATGATGTCATCAGTTTCATAAAGCGGCACCCTGTGATGTATAAATCAGTCTATCCAGTTGTGGGAGGACCAACGTTCAAGCGCATCAATGTGGATTACAGACTGACACAGATTGTGGTGGATCACGTTGTCGCAGAAGATGGCCAGTATGACGTAATGTTTCTTGGAACAGGTATGCTGGAACCAGATTGTGCTTTCTTGCAAAGGAATTTTTCATTATTAGACAAAGAAAATGAGAACTTCATAAAAATGTATTGGCCAAAATCAAACAGTAATTATTAGTTAATACCTAGTCAGTATGTTTAGTTTAAAATTGCTTAACACGTGCATCTGACAGTCACAAATATCTTCCAGGAGCCTCCATTTATGTTATATGAGATTTCAGCATATATTTCTGTATTATGACTGCAGTGTGCCTGCTGTAGTTGAGGTGGTTCTCAATACGTATTTGTTGAATGCCAGTGGACTGAAATTAAATGAGTGGGCAATGTTTATTTTCAAAAATCACATTTCCCTCTCTCTACAGAGGTATTTATTTGATAATCTTACCCCAAAGGATCCCTTCACCCAACTTTGAGAATCATTGACTTAGCTGACTTAAGATGGCTTTTCAAAAAAGTTAGTCATAAATTTGTTAAGATCTTAAAGTAGAAACTGCTTGGTGATTATTTTTTCTGTCCTTGAATTTTGAGGATAAGGCATCACTTTCATTATTAGAGCCCATCTTATCTGCTTATTTTTGCTTGCCAATTCAGTAATTATAAAATGATTACTTTTTTTTTTAGGGAAAGAAGTATTATTTATTTGGTACATCTCAAAAAAAGTAGTATCTGAAAATGTCATATGAATTCTAATGGCAGGAAAGATAACATGTATCATTAAAACAAAAGTACTGCATCCTGGATGTTATGTAATTTGATGGAGCAAGCACTGCATAAAGACATAGAAATTGATAGGTTTTTTTTTTAAGAAATGGGCATTTTTATTGAAATAGGTTTTTAGGACCACAGATGAATTTTAATTAGAATTATTTATTTGAAAAATATTCGTTTTACAGAAGTTAGGCTTATTGGGAAGCATCTGTAGGACAGACTCAGAGGACTTTCAAGAACACCAGTTGTCAAACCTGACTGTGTTGCAGATGGCAGTACCGAGGCCCAAGAAAATGATGCTGTCAAGACTACAGAGATTACTACTGAAGGGTCAAAACATGAAATAATTAGTTTGTCATGAATTCTAACGAGTTTGCCACTTAGTTGCGCTGCTCACCCAAAGTTCACTGCTAGTTCTTCCACAGTTCAATGTCAGAAATGCCGTTTAGCCACTAGGTGGTACTACCTAACTTTTACTGAGAAAATTATAAGGCTATTAAGGTGGATAGATTTTCAATTATGACATTTGGAAAATGAATATTTAGTATTTTTCCAAGATCTTCGTTTTAAAACGTAACAGAGTGAAACAATCCAGACTACTTGTGCAAACAGGATCATTACCATACATGTTAATAGATTCCAACTTCAGTGCTTAGAAGTTTAAAGGCATCTATTTTTTAATTTATTTTTTGTCTAAATCAATCTATACATTAATTTCCAAATGAGATCTTTTTTTTCCTATTCATCTTTCTGTAATAATGTCACCTTGGGTACTGCAATGTAAGATGCTATATTTAAGATGTCTTTCCTAATTCAATCCTGGGTTTATATTATTAAACTTGTGATAGTCTTTTACACTGAACTAAAATAATTTTTTAAAATTTCTTTTTCTAGCCCTTTAATTATGTTTCTGTAAGTAAAATACATTGGTTAGTGAGCTACCACTTCCCCCTTGTAGGTAGTTCCAATGAGTTCTCTTCCATTTGTTAAGATTTTTGGAAATATATCTATCTGCCTTTCATGGTGAATCAGATAAGTACTGAGTAAATATTTCTTACACTAAGAGAGAGAAAATATGTTATTTTAATATATTTTATCCTTTTAAATTAAATTCCAAAAATGTTGTTCACTTTTTGTTACCATTTCAACTAAGATTTAAAGGAGACATATATATTCCTTATGGTAGGAATATATTCTGAGTATGTGCCTTTTAATATTTTCTTTATGAATATGTATTTTATGAACTGAAAGCTATAATATTTCAGAAGGGAAGAATTATATACAATAAGCTTCACTTCCTGCATGCTTTATTTAACCTTATTTCTTAAAGGCATTGAAAAAATGAGGGCAGCAATGTTGAAGGTTGCTAGGAAAATGCTTAACTAAACATTGAAGTAGACACAGCAGGATCATGGGTAACGTATTTTTTCAGACATTGGAACAGTCCTGAAAGTGGTCAGCATTTCGAAGGAGAAGTGGAATATGGAAGAGGTAGTACTGGAGGAGTTACAGGTCTTCAAGGTAAGACTCGGGCCAGAGTTCCTGGACAAGAGATGCTGACACGGAGCAGTTCTTGACGTAGGCCACATTTGTCTTCATATATCATCACCTTTCCTAGAGAATTCTTTGCAATTACCTCCTTTATTTTTCTTTTCTGTAAGCGAAGGCAAAAAATGTTAAAAGCAAGTAAGAATGGGACCCATTTTCCTCTGTAAGATATCACCTAACTTGGGGCTCCGAGATTACCCTTCACTACTGGCTTCTCTAAGCATATGGTCGGACAAACGGCCACAGCACATGAAAGCCTGGGGTCTCTTTGACTATCCAGATGCTTTTCTACTTTGTACATTTTACTTCCCAATTTTTCTTCAGTTGAATTTGAGAAAACTGGTAGAGTGTGTATAAATCATGTGTCCCTGCATTACTGTAAGGAAATTTTTTTTAAAGGTGCATAATAGTAAGTCTTTATGTATGCTAAATTCCCCTCAACCACCAAAAGAGTTAGTAGGTCTGAAATAATAGATCTCCAGATTTGGGGAATGTCCTTAGACGTTGAGCAGTAAATTTGAATTGCGGCATTCTCTGTAGATCATCAACAAAATTCAATTTAAAGTTACTTTGTAAAAATTAAATTAAAATAAAATTGCATTTCTTAGAAAAGCTTTTAAAAATATGCTGTGTCTTTCATAACATTTTCGTTGAGACAGCTCATTAAAATAGACTGTTTCCGTGTAAACATCTATTGCCTTAAGAGCCAGTAGAGGCTTCCAGTGTGAGGGGCTCACGTTATTGGTAGGCTGGGCTCCACAGAATCCTGTTTACATTGTGATGATCACAGCGATCAAGGAGTTAACAAGAACAAGACCTGCTATCTGGCATCTGACAGAAACAAAATCTTGGGTGGTTCCTAAGGGAAAAATCGACATCAGATGCAAGTGTGAACCCAGAGGCCAGAAGTAAAGCCTCCACAACACACGTTAGAGTAGGTCTCCTGAGCGGTGGTTAGTGGTCAGGACGAATTGTTGGGATTCCCCAGTTAAGATTCAGTCATGAACCTGTTTTCTTAATTCATAAAAATAGTTATTGGAAAGAAGTTTCTCATTTAACATTTTTCTTTTCATTTTTTAATATATTTTCTTACTTTTTAAAAAAATATCTGCTACTGTTTATTGATTAGTAAATATTGGCAGGTGAGGAATGAATGAATAGCAATATAGATACAGAGAGAGAGATGAAAACTTTGTTAAACATTCCATCCTTTTAGTTTGGTAACTTTTGTGTTCATGTTTCTAATTTTATACTGTATGCATAGAGGGATATTTTCTACCAATAAAACTTGGTTCATATCATGAAATTATGAGCATCAGTATCTTGTAGTGCTTTATAAGGACTGTGTTCACCCACAAGGAGCACTGTAACTTTTCAGAGCTCTGCTACTTGAACAAGTGTTTGAACTACTGATCTAAGTAAGAGCAGAAAGAGGTAATAAATAATTATGGAGATGTTCTTGTCAACACTAGTTTGAATTATATGGAAGCAGTTAAGATAAGCAGATTTAGAAAAGGGAGAAACCTGTAGTAACTTGGAACTGTTCTCAATGCAGAGCGTCTCCTCATACAGTTAGGTAACTTGTCTTTAATAAGATTTAAAAATAACTATTTTGATCATTTCTATTAAGGTTGAATCACTACACATGGGAAGGAAAGACCAAACATTGAGATCCTTTTCTTCTCTATATAACAGAGCCTTGAAGTTTATTCCTATGATCTTTGGTATAAGATAAAACAAAATATTGACTACTTATAAGTAAAAGACTGTTAGTGATTATCTTTATTAATATTTAACTTTCCTTTTCAGCATTCATCAATCATCTTGAACATGGAGTTGTCTCTGAAGCAGGTACTTCCTAATTTTGGGGTAAAAATTACCCACGAAAGCAACATATTGCTTGAATCAAAGTTCATTTTAGAGAAAATTCATTGAAATTGGAAGTTAAATTATGAATAGTGTAAAAAAACTTTAGATGATTTGTTTCTTCAATAACTGATTACAGGCCATTGTTTCAGCCTTGCCTTAAGAGACATGGAACCCAATTTTACTAATTGAATAATACATTCTCTCTTTCCCTTGGCTCTTGAAAATTAAGCTCACTTTCCTAGCCTCATGAGGATGTCATTCTTTCAAGGCTGTAAGAAATCCATGTAGAATACTAGCCTCAATCATTAAAAATGTTTTTTAATCAGGGAGTCTAGGAGTTAGACTATGGACTGCAGTGGCAAATAGCCCAATAGTCAACCTGCCAATTAATATTTGATTCCTGGAATCAATTTTCTCAACAGTAAAGCTAGAAAAAATACTATCTACCTCCTAATAAATAGGATACTGCATGCAAAATTCTAAGCAGAGACCTGGTGCCCTCTGAGTGTGAAGTGAATGGCGGCTAATAACAACAATAATATTTAATGTGTTGTCATAGTTCTTGGATATAATACTCCAAATCTCTGCTGATTCCAGAGGTTCAGACCTGCATTACCATTTCTGTACGTGCCCCTAAGATGTAAGAAAGTCGTGTGCTAGAGAATATGTTCAGCATTAAGGTGTTGCCAAAATTGTCTTAATCCCCTAGGCCTAGTATGGTACGGGGATTATTAGGAAAAATAGGTTTCTTTTCATTCTTTTCTGTTAATTTGTTCACTCATTCAAGATTTAGTTCTTGAAGGCCTACTACTGTCCTTGGAGGATACAGAGATGGATGAATGACGTAGCCCTTAACCTCCAGAAGCTCATGGTGGAGGTGGGAGACACGGGGGCATGCTAACAAAGCAGTGATAATGGAATCGTGTCGTAGGGAGACGGGAGAGGAACTGGTCTCAGAGGGAGCTAGGGGAGCAGGGGCAGGTAGCTAAAGAGACAGGTAACTCGAGCTCGGAAGGATGCTGCAGTTAACCAGATAAATAAACAGAAGGATGATGCAATGGGGAAGCGTATGTCAGACAGAAGAGGGGAACATCTGAGAAGGTGTTAAGAGTGAGAGATTCTAACGTTTGTGTGCAACTACAGCACAGAGCATATGTGTGCTCAAGGGGCAGGGAGGCTGGAAATGAATCTGGGCAAGTAAGACAGAGCAAGAGGAGACACATCCTTATGTGTCAGCCCTCCTGAGAAGTTGAACAAGTTTACCCAAGACAATGAAAACTTTTGAGAGATTTCAAACAGCGAGGGTCCTGATGAGATTCTTCCTTTTAGAGAGATCACTGAGGTGCGGCAGTGTGGAGGATGGACTGAGTCCTGGGGTAGAGGTGGGGGTTGCTGGAAAACAAGACTGAAGCCAGTGGAAATACTAGGACACTGACAAGTGATCCAGGGAAGAAACGATAAGGACTATGACTGGCAGTGGTGAGGGAGAGGTGGAAATAGATTAGCTCTACATGCGAGGACGGAGAGATAAGGTGGCACTGAAGGAGAAGAAAGAAGATTCACAGACAGCTCCCAGAGGGAGCTGGGTGTCTGGGGTGACCGGGATGGTGCCTCTTGGTCAAGGTAGGGTAGGAAGAGTAGATTTAGGGGAACTGGTATGTGCATGTGTATGTTGTTTTCAAGATACCTCTGAGTCTTTGTACAAAGAGAAAGATGAGAATTGAAAAGAGGGATACCCAACATTCAATGCAAAGAAAGGAATCATCAAAGGAAACAAGTCTTGGGCAGAAATAAAGAGGGAGAACAGGAGGAAAAAGAGAAGACAGTTTTAAGGAGGGTGTAGTCTTACTATGTCAAACGCTATAGAGAATTAGCTTATAAAACAAAGACTAAACAATGTGCATCGCATTTAGCAGCCAGGAGGTCTTCACTGACAGTTTAATGGGTGGTAGAGATACAAGACAGATTTCTAAAGGTTGAGTACACGTAGGATATTTGTGCCAGTATCTCTTTCTCAGAATTTTTTCCTCCATTTAAAGTCTGGCATGGTCCACTCAACTTGATTGTGCATTGTTTGAAGGCACAGATGATGGTCTATTCACTTATATCATCCCTCCCCCTGCCACCACCACACGCCCTCAAATAAATACACATAAAGAGCAGTGCATTCGTTGCAAGACTAATTTTCAAAATGTCATCTTATGTGCTGAGCTTGTCAGTATCTTGCAGGCTTTCATGTGTGATGTGTCATCCCACAAGCCTCCTTAATGCTTTTTTCCCAGTGAGACCAAATACTTCCTCTCCCACTTATAACTCATTTTCCTTCAGGGATCTGTACTTCATTAGCAAACGAAATGGTTCGTTAAAAACTACAGGAAAGGTTTTCAAACCTCTTTTCGGTCACCTCTTCTGTAAGAACCCGTGGCAGGAGACCATCAGTGCTGCCTCTAGCATCTGTGCTTGGTGTCATCTACCAGAGCGTGTTTGCAACTATTAGGAAAGAATCTGACATCTTAATTCCTCTGTCTAGCAGCTGGTTTTTGACCTTCTTAAATTACTGCCGAGGTTACTCTAGCTCTGTAGAATGCTGTCCAGTTCAGCATCAACATCCTCCAGCCATCATCCTGCCAGGGGTAGAAGTGATCATCTTATTCTTCGTCAGGTTTCTGAGCAAGTGTTTATAAGGGGCAGGGCACCCGAGGAGACAAACTGAGATCTGTGATGTGGTATTCCAGAAAGGGAAGTTCTTAAGACTAGTCTGAAAGATGCTTCTAATTCATTTGTTTTGCCTGATTTGCAGCAACAATTGTACATCGGGTCCCGGGATGGATTGGTTCAGCTCTCCTTGCACAGGTGCGGCACTTACGGCAAAGCCTGCGCAGACTGCTGTCTTGCCAGGGACCCCTACTGTGCCTGGGACGGAAGCGCATGTTCGCGATACGCACCCACTTCAAAAAGGTGAGAGGCACATCAAGTTCCCACGGGGGCTTCTTTTCTGCACAATGAGTATCTCACACAAGTACCTTGCCTTGTAGTTTAAAGAGAAAAATATAGAAAACATGGTCTGTGATAAATGAAGACAGGTTATAGGTTTAACGGACCTAACTGATGATTATCCTCGGTTTCACAACTTTACAAAATTCCGATAAATTGTTACTGTCCTTTTCCTCCGTCTGTGTCAAAAACTGTGGACAGTTTGCTTTCTTTACTGCTTTACGCTTTGTGCAGTCCTCCCTTCTTCTCTTCTTATTTCTAAATACATATATACTCATAGTTACTATTTTACCAATAATGTATAAATACATGTATGTAAAAGTGTATATACAGCTCAAAGTGCACCCCAGTGACTGTACAATTTTACTTTTACTCTAAGTTGGTCAGTTTGTACCATTCAGATATACTTAAACAGCAGTCTGTATCCTGCTGTTTGTAGTTTATTGCTCTATGTGGCTCTTAAAAATAATGCTATTGTGGGCCAGTAATACCCAGCTAGGAATTCATTCTACACACACACGGGCAAAAGTACCACAAACTATATGTTTGATGTTCATTTCAGCACTGCCTTTCAGTAGCAGAATTACTGGAAACAACCTGAATGCTCATTAATATGACTGATGGTGGCTAAATATCTTGAAATATCATTATTTTAAAATGTGGATTATAGTAATACAATACTATTTTCTAAAGTGTTGCTCAAAGCATTCATCTTCTAGGTAAAATGTCAGGATACTGTATATGGAAAATTTTTTCATTTTTCTGTCTTAGAAAAGAAGATAACAGGTGAGCATGTGCTAGCCCCACTCCTACATACACACTTTGACCCTTTTGAAATTTTACTGATTTGTCAAGTGGTCAGTTCTAGGGATCACAGACTGAATAGATAGTACATAATCAGATACTGCTTAAAATTCAGAGACCTTTTATATTCCCTAAAATCTCTGAATTAAATGTAAGTAGGGAGATACCATTATTTCAAGTTGAAAGTAAAATGTCACCAACATTTTGTTACAGTTTGACCACAAATATACTCTCCTATTGAGTCTTTGGGAACGCTTTTCTCTTCCAGAAGCTAAAAAACAAGAATGCTCATTAGTTGGTAATGAACCTTCAGTTTGATGAATTGTTCCTGTTCCTTAAGAAGCCAAGATTTAAAAACATTCTTGACCTTATGTACCTTTGACCGTCATAATTTTTTCTTCTTGTATTTCCCAAGACTGTATCTCTGATCTTGCAGACATGCCACTGTGATGTTCTCCCTTCCCTAACATAATGTCCATGTGAGCCCAGAAATACACGTGTATGATAGATGAGCCTTCCACAGGGTTGTCACCCAGTCAGCATCCCCCTTAAGGAAGGCCCTACGCATCTCAGAAGGCTTACTGGGACATCTCTGACTTCTGATGTGGCAACATAAAATAGCCAAGGCGAATGAAACTGTACTCTGAGTGTAAGCCTTCTTTAATTTAGAGGTAGCATTTTTTTCTTTTTTTGTACAATGGTTACTGTTTCCACTCCAGGAAAATGAGTGATAATGCACAAGGCCATTATTTTATTCTTATCATCACCACTCCTATCACAGAAACAATGTGAACTATGTGTCAGCAGATAGAAATAACATCTAGCCATTCATGCCATCTCAGACTTGAACTTCGCTTTCAAATGATATTTATCTCATTGCTTGATGAAATCAGTACAATAACGAAGTCATTTTATATTTGTGTGTATGTTCTTACTCACGAACTAAAGCTCTTTTATATCTTAGTATTTCCCCGATGACTGACTGGAAAAAGAGGGTAGAGATAGGTACCCTCATCTGATGGATATGAAAACTGGCTTACACTTATATTCAACCTGTTCTGTTGAATAATTTGTCCAAAGTCAGAGAAAAAGAAAATTGTGGTAGTTCAGTATAATTCCAATCATCTTATTGCCAAAACAGGATTCATTCTGCCACTAGTCATATTTGAATACTTGAATTAATGCTGGAGTGATTGGAATAATGACCTGCATTTAGGCTGAGTATAAAATAAGCATGGTTCTGCGCCTGCCACTGTTACTAGTGTTAGATGTAGACACTGTATTTTCCAGCGATCCTGCTGGAAGCTCTAAACAGTTTAACCCATTTTTTACAGGCGAGCTAGACGCCAAGACGTGAAGTATGGGGACCCAATCACCCAGTGCTGGGACATAGAAGACAGTAAGTATAGTTTTACTATGCTTTTTCTCCTCTGGAAAATTTTAAGCCTACTCTTCATGTGTCTTTTTCACGTTACAACTTAAAGCATCTTTTATATAGGAAGATCTCATTTTGTGTAATGCTTGTGTTCTGGAAAAGCACCCCTATTCATGTGCTTAAGTGAGTAATTCTTTGCTATATTGTTATTTGTTTCATATGGCTTTTAAAATTCCTATACCTTTTTTTTCCTTTTGTAATGCCTTATCCATCCTTGTAAAGTTTTAAACTGCTG